CCATCCCTGTTAAAGATAGTCAGCTGTGGGGCATTATGCTTACCAGAGAGTATTGCACTGGGGACTAAAGCTCCCAGAAGAGAAAGCAAAAACGAAAAGGGCAAACGGGCGGGCGCAGTAAGAGTGCAGAGGCCGGTCATATGAGGGGGCGGGGCGCTGCCCGTGCAGCCAATCGCAGGGCCGGCCCCGCCCGCCGGCGGGTTCCATGGGTCCTAGGCGCTGCCCACTGCGTAGCGGCGTGGGCGGGCACAGGAATCGGACTCGCGTCTAGGAGCGTGGGCAAGCGTTTCCCGGGGTACTGCCAATAATACCGCGCCGCAGGCCTCTGTTAAGGGGGTCCTGTTGGAAGTGAAAGCACTATAACTTTCTATTAGAAAGCTTCCCCCCCTCCCTTGCTCATAACCAGGGATCCTGGTTTTCTCTGATAAAAAGAAATCCTCCCTTTTTGAGTTAAAAGAGGTAACCCCAAATGCACATTTTCCCATGATTAAAATTACATGCCACTAATACATATATACGTGTGTGCGTGTGTGTGTATCTATATGTATGTATAGTGGGGTTTCATTTTGATCGTGGAAAATGTGGGTTTGGGGCTACTTGTTTAAACCTGAAAATCGGGAATTTGTTTTATCCAAGAAAACCAGGATCCCTGCTCATAACCTCACTAGCCTTTAATCGCCTGGCCTGCAGTTTTCCATTGCAATGACCTGCCTTGGGGGTTTGGCTGTTTTGCCAAAGGCCACCCCAGTTGATGTGCACAAGAGGCACGCACTCAGCACAGACCCGGCTCCCCAAAGAGCCCGTCCTCGCTAAGCGCCCTGACCAGGCTGCTGTGCCGTTCCGCTAGGCACCTGGCCATTCACCCACCGCTCGCAGCTCTTACCCCCGACAAGTCGTGGCTCCCGCCTTCCCCAGGCTGGCAGTGTAGGGTCCAGCCCAAAGCTTGTCAGCTGATGTTGGGCTTCCCTGGGAACTGCTGCTGCAGATCAGAGTGGAGCTGCTGGGCCCTGGATCTGCAAACTGGGAGCCTATTTTTTCCCAGGGTCTCCGTGTGCTCGTTGCGCTAGGCCGTGCGGAGAGGAAGCTGCCTGAGTTGAATGGAGTGGAGATAAGAGTCAGAGCGTGGAGAGAGAAAGGACTGGAAGATTTGGAACCATGGAGATTACTGAAGGGGGGGACAAGCAGCTTGAATGCAGTGCAATGAGGGGAGCCGATGGGCAGATTCAGAAAGGCAGAACAATGATGATGGTGCTACTTACAGACCATCCCAAGGTTTTGTTTGTTTGGACCTAAGGGCTGTTGAGTAATACTCTAGTATTAATAACGACTGTCAAATTATATCTGTAATACTAATTGTTATGTTTGATGATTGCTTGTACTGCTGTACTGTTTTAAAGAGCAGCCCAACAGTTAGCCCGATCCTGCTTGCCCTTCAAGCAGAGGACTCGCTTGAGTTTTTTTGGTGGCCATTTCATGCATGCCACACTGGCAGGATTAGGCATCTCTGTCTAGGTCCCAGCTCCCCATTACAGTGCTGGGCCTCTGCAGGCTGGCTTGTGGAAACATAAGGACAGGTCCTGCTCTTCTGGAAGTGGGTTTGAGCACAACTGAAGTCAATGAAGTTACATTGACTTAATTCAGGGCTGAATTTGGCTCCAGTTTTCAGGGTCCTCATCCTTCAGCTGCCTTAAATGTTGTGGTGAGTTCTGTAAAGGAGAACCAGATGATAACTCCATGCTGGCAATTTTCTTCCAGTTCAACACCTCTAGTTAGTCTGGGCCAACAGCAGAAGCACAGCTAGTAAGCAGGTGTGTAGTCTGCATGACAGGTTTTCCAGTACAGTAGTTCCTGAAGCAGTGATTATAGCCGTACCAGTAGTTCCTAAACCAGGGTGCTGTAGCACTCTGGGGTGCCTTGAGCTTCTTTCAAGAGTGCTGTGAGGCACCATCAGATGTTAGCATTGTTAGGTTTACAACCACAATTCACAAGAGAAACCCAGGGACTTCAAATAGAAAGCCCTAGTTCTGGACTTTCAGAGTTCTTTGCAGCAGAAAAAAACATGCTCTATTTATTTTCCATAGGCCGAAAAAGGGGTGAAAACTAAGAGCTGGCACTTTCCACATGGTGCCTTGAGTCTATCCAGAGATGCTGCAAGTTTAAACAGGTTGAGAACCACTGTCCTAAAGCCTTTCCTCTCCTCTTATAATGAGCTTTAAAAATAAAGGGACAAAATAAACCCTCCCTCCTGTACCAAAATCTGTCTAATTCTTTCTGGCAAGAATTTTTTTTGGTTGCCACCCATTTACACAATTTATCCTGAAAGGTGCTGAACTTCCTCAAGTCCCTGTAAAGGGAATAGGTCTTGTGTACTCAGGAACTTCTAAGGAACCAATCTCTGATCTATAGATATATATCTATATCTATAGAGATGTTTATCTATATATGGATATAGATAGATTTCTGTCTATATCTATATCTGTTGCTGTGGTACTGGTTCCAGTTGACTCTAGCATTTCAGGATCAAGCACATGTGGCTGATTGCCATTAATGGTGGAACGGAGTGATCCGTGGTGCGATGTATTAAAACAGCACATCACCTAGGGAGAGATTTGAACTAGAGGATGAATGAAGTTTAATGAGTTATTCCCCACTGTGAGTGCATGAACTGAGCCGAAGGAATGGGGTATTTCTGTGGTGCATTGCCATTTTTACTTCATGCTAGACTGAGTTTGATATTGGTAGTGTTAAGAAAAGGGGGAGTGGAGCGCTTTACAGATCTCTGTGGCAAGATTCCTATCTGGGCTTCAGATCAGCCAGGGGATTAAGCATGCCTAACTTTAAGTACACAAGTAGTCCTGTTGACCTCCAGTGAAATCACATGCTTCAAAAGGTAGGTGTATGGTTACATCTCTGGATGAATCAGGGCCCCACCCTTTGGTAATTAGAGGTGGACAGACAAATAGGTTTTGCATTCTGATTATTTTTGCGCACTGAAATTTAAAGATGCGCTGGGTCAGAGAAGGAAATATCATGATGGATCCGGAGGTTTTGGTGTTTTTGCCCAAATGTTCACAATAGCAGGGGCATATTTCCAGTCTTTGGTCTTGTAACATACAAATTGCCAAATAGAGAAGGGGAGGAGATAACATACCTGACAGGCCGTTGTTATATTTAGTCTGTTTGTTCATATCTGCAGACATTTTCTTTAGTAAAACCTCCTTTTAGGGAAGACTATGGCCTGCCTTTCACAGCTCACACCATGGCAAGAACCAGTGCAATCCTGCTTTAGGAGGTAGTAAAAATTCAGGAGCGTGGGACAGGAGTCTACACCCTATAGGGGACACACTTGGGCAGGACAGATCCACGTAACAGGAGCGTGTCCACCACTAGCCCTGTCTTACCCTAGACCATGATCTGGTTAGCTGGACTGTGCACTGGAGTAAGGATTTGGACAGCTGCTTAATGAGAATCACGGCCTGTCCAGCAGGGTGTCACTGTTAACAGGATCCTGATGTCTGCAAAAGCATCAGCCGGTTCGGTTTAGAACAGGAATGGATCTTGGTAGCTTGCGGCTGCTCTTCCAGAGTCTGTAAAACAATCTCTTGACATCCCAAATGAGTAACGCAGGGGATGGAGGATTGCTGACGGCAGCGGGCTGGCGTTCCTGAAAGGCAGACTTCTGGAAGACGCGGAGACGGAAAACCAAACAATTACATTCAGCTGCTTAGTGAAAGTGCTGAGTCAAGACTCTGGCAGTCACGTGAAGCATTTTTATTATGGAAGAAGAAAAAAAAAAAAGAAACTTCTGCTTTAACTTAAAGGGCAGGTAGAGCCGGTTGCAGAAGAGGCAGAACAAGCAAAACTTCCACCTAAGGGACTTTGCAACATGATGTTCCCAAACAGCTGAGGAAACCTTTTGTCAGCTGATGAGAGGGGAAGAAGGGTGGGGTGAAGAAGGGAGTATTTCATCACTCGGAGCTACATCAGTGCAACTTGATTTAGTTACTTGCTATTCTCTTCCAGCAGCAACAGCAACACTTTATCAGGTTTTCCTGTGGCACTAGCCTCCCTGCATTTATAAGTCATTGTGCTTTACACCACCAGTTTCCAAAGAAGCCTTGTCTGGAGAGAGCGTGCTGTAATGTGGCTAGTACTCAGCCAGTCGGGGTGAAATGGTTCCAGGCTGAGACTTCTGTGCCATGTGCAAACGACACCAAACTACTTACAGAGACGGTCAGCAGTGCAGTAGTGAAAGCTTGCAAGTCTTGCAAGAGCAACTGACAGCTTAGTAGAGTTTGGGAACTATTAAACGCAAGGGTGAAAGTGGCAGTGCTAACATTTTAATTAATTACTTATTGATGTTTGTAGCATTCTCCTGTGGAAGCTCCAGTTCTGGAGCTAAGTGTGCACCAATCCCGGAGAACGAGTTGTTCCCAGAAGTCTCTGCGTTTGTACGTCAGCCACCTCCTGCTTCCGAGGTGGAAGAACAATCTGGGTTGTCCGTATACTTTTTAGAGGAATGCGACTTAAACAAAAAGTCAAACCTCCGAGCTCTTTGGAGATTCCTAGTAACATCCAATAATCCAGTCTATGTACTAGGTCCTCTGTAGCATTCAGTATCTAGGCATTGTATAATGAGACAGATTTTCTCTCTACCATTTCCCCACAACACAGGGAAAGTATTTCCCCTTGGCCGATGGTCAGTTAAATAAGTTGCCCAATGTTACAAAGTGTGAGCGAGGGAGGAATTCAGCTGATTTCTTCTGGATCCCACTGCCTTCATTTCTCTTGTCCATCGCTCAGCCATCTGTCTCGTCTTACAGGACTCCATACCTGTGTAACTTGGGCGTGTGTAAGTAGTACCCATTTTGGGGTGTAAATAGTGCCCATTTTAGAACAGGCTAGTGAAATAAAGGTCTCATTATTGTCAATCGTAGAAAATGAGGGTAGGAAGGGAGCTCAGGAGGTCACATCTAGTCCAACCAGCCCCACCAAATCATCCCAGCCAGAGCTTTGTTTTGAAAACCTCTAAGGCTAGAGCTTCCACCACCTCTCTGGGCAACCCATTTCAGTGTTTTACTACTGTCCTAGTGAGAATTTTTTCCCTAATATCCAGCTTAACTTCCCTTGCTGCAACTTGAGACCGTTGGCTCCTCCTTCTGTCATCTGCCACCACTGAGATTAGCCTAGCTCCATCCTCATTCGAGCCCCCCTTCAGGTAGTTGCAGACTGCTATTAAGTCTTCTCTCAGTCTCCACTTCTCTAGACTAAATAAGCCCAGTTCCTTTCCCCCCCCACATCTTTCCTCATAATAAGTCATGTCCCCTATCCCCCTCACCATTTTTGTTGCCCTCAGTGTAAAAGCTGCTGGGGAGCAGGGAATGGGATAGGCTTGGAAGGCAAAAGCCTCAGTTGAACATCTGGCTTCCCACCACAAAGTGTGGACTTGAAAAAATGAGATGAAAGATATACACTGACCCAGACTGGGGGTGGGAACTAAGGAGGGGCAGCTTTTGGGGTTACGTGATATTCTGTTCCTGGAAAACATAGCTCCAGGAAGAGGGGCAAGGAAAAGGGCACATAGGGTATTTTTGTAGGAGTTGGCTAAACCCTTCAGCAAAAAATCCAGAGGGATGTGAAAGAAACTGGGAGAACCATTCCACTGCATTCATTTATTGAGGTTCCTGCTTGGAGATGGCTCAAAGAGTCCTCTCAGAACAAGAATGGCACAGAGAGCATTTAATTAAATCAAATCAGTGCCTATCTGCTGCCTTGTGTTTACGCATCCTCATACCATCCATGATAAATAATGCTTCCTTGCTGGGCACATGTAGCGTACAGCTTGTTATAGGTACAGGTAGACAGCTCTGCTTGATTGCCTGGTGGTTTTTCTTGGCAGATCGGTATCTGTCAGAAAAAGCTGTTTGGTGACCTTGATCTTTGCTTGCTGCTGTTTCCATTCTGGAGCCATTCACGATTACTTCACTCATCCCAAAGGGCTTTTATGTTCTGCACAGTACTAATGACACCAGCATGTTAGTGTGCTTCATTGCATGCAAGCTTTCTAGAAGGCAGATTGCTTTCAGATGAAGGTCTGAAGTTGAGAGAAAGCAGCATGAAGCCAGAACGCAAGACTTCAACTCTAAGTCATCTTACCGAGCGCACACAGCAGTGCAGAATCGCAGCTCCCACGCAGGGCTGCTGACTTCTCACACTTCCGTAACCTCAGTTCTCAAAGAATGGATATCTGTTTTTTCTACGCCAGTCACTAAAGTTACTCTTGCTTTTACTCTCTGCCCTCTGCTTGAAATGATTGTTTTTGTCCCTTTTCAGCCATGGATCTGTTTGGTTTTTTTATAAGCCCAAAGCCGAATAGCACTTGGTCCTCTTTATGCTGTTAGTGATGCTCTTTTGTTAAGATAAGCTAAAATTGTTCCTCTGCTAGTATGGCATTTTGGCTAGCAAAACTAGATCAGAAACCTACTTAACTTGATTGTGTTTACTGACAGGGTGAAGGGAAATCTCTGTTACTGCAGTGAATAACACTGACAGTAAATTCGACCTGGTTTAAGAATCCAGCGTTTTCCTAAAACAGAGTTTCTTTTAAAACTCTTCACCTGGTACGAGGTAGCACTGAAATAATTTTGTAGTCTTGTCCAGTAGAGTCCAGTGCTGTAAGGAGAAGGTAATAATAGAAAACCTACTTTTCACAAACATTTAACAGACATCAAGTCCTTTCTGTAGTACCTGCTACTGTGGTATCGCATGTTATCATGGTATAAGACGTCCTCTTGTAGGTCTGCTGCAATAAAAACCAAGTCAGGAGCTTGGGTTGTAGCTACGCTCTGTTCAAGACTGCTTCAAGTGTGACCTTTACACTTGACCCCCACATGTGCTCAGTGGAGAACTTTGCTCTGCGAAATGCTTTTCACATAGCAGTGGAATGGAGATCTCTTCTCTTTACTTTGAAAAGCCGTAATTATATTGTTGCAGCCCTCTGTACACTTTGATCCTGCAGAAGTTGGAGAGGCCATTTTTGTGCCTAGGAACCAAGAACAGGGGAACAGCCTGGAAAAGAAGCCAGTGAAGAGTTTGGTAGAATGATTGCTACTCCCTCCCACCCCAATGGCCCAGACCTTTAATGTCCTCTATGTAGTATACCAAAGTCTTGCTGAGTGGCAAGGCCCAAAGGCCAGGAGAAATCCCATCCTCCTGCCTGCAGATGATCAGCCCCTGCTTCTCTCCCCAGGCTGATGCTACTTCTGCCTTTTACCAAACACCTCACTGCACCATCCAGTTCCTCTCCCACTAACCCCACTGCAGAAATTCAGTTTCAGTTTTTAAATGCAATATAGTCCTACCTCTCCACACTTACTTTTTAAAAAAACAATCCAATTCTAATCTGCACTAGATTTAGTACCAAGTTTGGTCTGTTATTAACTTATTAAACTGACACCTCTGTTAGCAGGGCAAGGTATTACGTATACTGAGTTATGTGATAATAATTGACATTGCCTTATGGCATAAGCCTCAAAGTTCTCCTGCCATCTGCAACATTTTAAAAATATTCTGAATCTCTCCAGGAAGAGTTTAAGAAAGGAGTTTATGTTCAAACATATCCAACTTCTTCCTTTTTTAGGAATGTAATTTTAAAATTCAAAATGTTAATATACATGAAGTTCTCTTCCCTGTGCTGTAATCTGGCAACATTAAAAGAGGTATTTTAAAATAGTAAGACTAGGGCAAGCACAGGACACAGATTAGAAAGCACCGTACATAAAGAGCTTCTTTTCCCTTTAAAGAACTCAGTGGTTTGATCAGTCAAGCTCAGCCTTCCAGTAGTACACACTATGCCTCATTGAAGAATTAGCATTTACTTTGCTTCAAGCCAGATGCTTCCAGCCTTCCGTTAAATACTGAAAACAAATTGTCCACTGCCTTTTGTTAAAACAATTAAAAAAACCAAAACACACCAAACCCAACCCCATCCTAACTCTTGGAAGTAGTCCCACTGCCTTCAATGGGACTGCTTTGGGAGAGGAAGGCCTTTCAGAAACATCTGCACAGACACAAAAAAGTCTTACATTTGTACATTTAACCTTCAAGTAGCAGCTAGTATAACAGATGCTAAGATGTCTCAATCTCACGCCATTGTACAAAGAGAAGAGATTTTCTAAAAGGTAATAGGTCTGGACAAATATAATTGAAGCGTGTATTTAAGAATGAGTCACTCAGGAAAGCATGGTGACAGAACAAAAAACTATTTACTACTGAATCTAAGAATGGACAAGTAGTAGGAAAATGACTTTTTTGCCATCAAAATGTAACCCAGACATTGAGGAGGAAAAAAAATGGATGCTAGCAGACCCAGCATACAAGAAGTTGGATAAAAAAGGCATTCCACACAAGCAATTTATCAACACAAAACTGTTTAATATTTATTAAATGACACAAAATACCTAGGTAACAGACTCACTCTTTGAAAGGACATGTATTTACATTATTTACCAACTTAAGAAAGACTCTCTGTACCCATTTCAGTCTTGTTATGAAACATTAAAAAGGTTTCGCTTTTTGCATTAAAGGACGCAATGCTGACACATGCCCTGTTTGCAAGTCTGCATAACTATAATTTCTGATGCAGTGAAAACTATAATTTGATGCAATTTTATATTCTAGTAGCCGAGTGACGAGGCTTCTTAAAAGTAACAGGGTTAGTTTTTTTTTTCCCCCCTCACTCCAGACATACTTCTGAAGAATTGTTATACAAAAATTATATTACATTTTTGAATGCTGCTGTACTCTTACAACTTTAGTGTAACTTTTCAAAGAAAATACTCTTCCTATTATATGAAATCACTAAAAAAACAAAGTGGCATTTGAACAATTTTTAGATGCACAAATAAAACATTGTTTAAAAGAAAGCATTAGGGCAAAATGATATGTTTAGGAAAATGAAAGATACTGTGACTGAGAAATGAGCAGAGACCAAAATATAAACCACAGCTAAAGCAACTTAAAAATTTGCTAGGTTTCTTTCATCTTTGTTATTAACTATATTTACTTTGGCACCTGTGTGTGAACTATAGAACAAAACAATGTTTACAACACTTCTGCAATTACAGCATTTAAACAAAATGGTCACTTTCTTTCAAACCAGCCAAGACAAAAAATAGTCCATTTATGGGTATAAAGATTAAAAAACCTAAAATATATATTTCTAAGAATAAACTGCAATTTCTTATTAACAAGGCTGCTATAAACTGCATGCAAGAGTGAAGATTTAAAAATGTATGGGCAAACAGACACCTTGTGTTATAGCCGAATCAGTTGTGGTCCAAGCCAATTGAAAAAAAAATTATATATATGGCTCAATAGGCAGGCACATGATCCCAGCAAGAAGTTGCAGAGTTTAACAGCTGGATACTCATCTTGGCTGCCGCTCTGTCATTAACCAGGAAAGAAAGACCTTGGCAGAAATTAACAAGTTGTTTCTTCATCCCACAAGTCTTTTCTAAACAAGGGCTTGGTTTTCCCTGCTCTTCTCAAGCATCTGGTCTGTTCAGTGTCCTCACAGGCCCTTCATTGGGTAGCTTTTATAGTAGGATTGTCAGTGGAACAAAAACATTGCCTCCATTTCGACATCAGAACTTTGTATCTATCTAAATGACAACTAAAAGACACCAGTTTTCTATATAATAACATCTGAATTCAACTCATTGAAATAAATAGGATGTTAAAACCAAAAACAAAAAGACACTTTGTAAACTTTGTGGTCAGCTGAATTTCAGCATCT